GCCAAAATATCACTGAAGCCGCAACAGAGCATCGTCGAGCCGTCGGAGCATCATTGGCGCTGCGATGTAGCATAGACGACGGGTGGCCGGTGCATCGTCGGGCCACCGAAATATCACTGAAGCCGCAACAGAGCATCGTCGAGCCGTCGGAGCATCATCGGTGCTGCGACGAAGCATAGCCAGGTGGCCGGTGCATTGTCGGGCCGCCGAAACATCATCGGGCCGCCAAAACATCGCCGGAGCTACAAGAGCATCGTCAAGCGGTCGGAACATCACCGGCACTGCGATGGAGCATAGCCGGGTGGCCGATGCATCAACGGTGCAGAATGGAGCGTCAATGGTGCTTGAAAAGGTGTTCATATTAGGGACGTTGTTGCAACCCAGAGCTCGGCGGCGCTGCTGCCATGGCCTGCTCGCCGGCCGTTTTGCTGGTGGGTGTCTGGAGACGCGGCTACTGCCACAAAGCCGGCTAGCTGCTGCGTGTGTGCTGATGTTGCCTTGGTGGCTGCCTGGCTGGAGGCTGCGAGGAGCCATGTGCAAGTTAGGATGGAAGTAAGTGGTCCAGCCATCAGCGAATCGGGCGGCTTGAATCATTCTGTGTTGACGCAAATCAACGACGGGGAAAGCGGCTTATTTTCCACGGCATCATCCGGATGACGCGTAGCACGCGCCATATAAAAATGTGGTGAGAGAGAATTTCAGAACAAACATAAACCAAGCGAGAATAATGCCACTTGCGCGCTCCCGGTGAGGGACACACCATACCTGAAAAATCCCACCACGCCGAAGCACTACCGGCCTAGCTAGCGCTATGGCCTATAAATGGAGACCATCGGGCATCCATGGCCAAGCCATCAAAGCCCAAGCAAAAACACATAGCAAAACCGGCAACCGGTCGCCACGATGTTCCGACGTGCCAAGACCAAGGCGATAGCCACACCACCCTCCGACGGCGAGGTGCGGGTGCATAAGGTCGAGAAGATCGAGCTCGTCCGCAACCTTGTGACCAAGCCATCGATGTACTCTGGCGCCAACCCGATGGCAGCATCAACCATGAGGCGAGGTGCTGCCGGTCATGGCACGGCCGCCACCACCGGTAAGGCTACGGGCGCCTCGAGGCCGGGCGTCGTGTCCATAGAGGATATTAACAAGAGGTCTGAGGCCTACATCCGGGAGAGGAAGAGGCTCTTCCAGGGCCTGAAGTAGGACGGTATATTTGGAGTCTTGGAGATGATCTTGCACTACTATTGATTTCGTCTACATAGATACACTGATTAACGGATGTATGCATGTGTGGAATTTCCCCTCGACGGAATGTAAGATGTGCTACCTATGTAAACGTGTTGTCGTGTGGTATCGATCCACTTGCCGCAGTTAACTGTGTGTCTCATCTTAGAAAGTGTGTAGTCAAATATTTACTATCGACATATAAATAGATTATTAAGCTCACTGGTATACTTGATGATCCTAGTATTATTTTAAAGATCTTGCGAGTCCATATATTCTCATTCTTTGGCGACATATCCTGTGCAAACAAGGAGGACCAGTGCTCAAACAAGAGAATTGCATGTAATCAGGCAAGTGTCCTTCAAATCTTTAAGCAAAGGGTTTTCTTGGATGTAATCATGCAAGTGTCTTTCAGATCTTCAATAAAGGTCGAGGCCAATCTTGGGGACTGGTGGGTCCTAAGCTTCATGTAGGCTTGTGCGTGTGGTACATCTTGAGGCTGATTGCAGACTTATCCCTATGGTGCTTGTACTTCAGTCATGGTCGCCGCGTGGTTGTGGAGTTATGCCGTGTTGTAGTTGATTGTAGTTCATGCTCTTTGTGAGGACGTTTCTCACTTTCATGCCTTGTATTATATTCTTGCTCTAGCCTAGTTTGGGTTTGGTTGTCTTAGGGTTGTGGATCACTAGCACTCTGGTTGGTGATCTTTAGGTTGTTTAGATTCGGGTCATGTCGCTTTCGGGCCTTCTTTGGCAATGTATCATCTTATTTCTTAATGAATACATATGTAGCTCTTAAGCTCTCCTGCATGGTTCCAGAAAAAGGTACTTGATGATGTGAGAGTAGAAATGTTGTCCAATCGACCATTAGTCGGTCGTTTTGTAACTTGTAAACTGTTCTTACTTAATGCAATGAGACAAAGCTTTTGACTCCTTTTCACAGATAAAATTTCATCAAGAATTAGTTTTCTAGACAAATTAAGAAAGCACCGGTCCTTGATAATGTTACAAGTTACAACACAATTAATCTTTTCTCGGTGTTGTCATCCTTGTTCTCCTTGAAAGAAAGGCAAATTCTTTGATTCATGTTTGGACAGTAAATAAACTGATTTACCCAAAATTTATGCTATGTGGCAAACTTAAATATCATCTTTTTGTGCAAATTACCCTAATTAACTATCAGTTAGACATAGCTGTAAGATAATTTTCTCCCTCTTTCTCTTCACGGATTGGCTTACTTGTGAAAAATCATACAAAACAGGGCGAGCAAGGCAATGTGCTTTGATTCATTTTTTCGGAAAAGGAGGATAACCCCCGACCATGTGTCATGACTCATGAAACACTACCTCTTATGTTTCTTTACGGAGAGAGTATCTAATTTTCATATTTGGAAAATCTGAATTAGATTTTTTATATAAACTAGATATCGGACATGCAAGTCTTCCTAAGCTTTCTTTTACTTATTGCAGGTAGAGTCTTAATAAGATGATGTGCAATAATTATGGTGTAAAATGTGGCACACAATCTTAAATAAATGGGATAATAGCAAAATCTATCACAAATGAAAAGAAAAGAATTGCCCTGCAAAAAAGGGATAAAAATAGAAGTCACTTTTTTTAAAACCAAATAATGGCGCGCGGGTTCCCTGCCGACCTCCAGATGTCGACTATGGGGTCAAGTCAATTAGTCAAGTCACCTAGAGCCAGGATTTTTGGCGATGCTCCGGGGCTTCTTTCTGGGCATCCGTTTCAACTAAACAAAATCAGTCCAGACAAGGGAAGTCGTTGGATCTACCTTCGTAGCTAGGGTGCTCTCAAAAAGAATGCTAGGGCTCCATTCTCCTGGTGCCTATGTCCTGGAACGAATCCGACGGATGCACCACAGACCACACGCAGCGCCAGGAGCGAGACTCCGATCTCTAGCTAGTCAGTAAGCTAGCCTCGATGTCGATCCAGGTGTGGAAGGCACCGGATGCACCTGCAGATTGAGCATCGCGTAAACGGACTCGCCACATAATAATGGCTCGCGTCTATGTCTCTGCGTGCGGAATCACGCGCAGATCACGTTTTGTTCCGATTCGGATTCCGATCGCGACGGCCGGCCCTCATCGTCGACGTCTTCGCGCTAGCTGTCGATCACGCACTCCGGCACCAATCGCTTTATAGCTTTGCTTTGCTCCATCGGTCAAGTCTCGGTTGCTTGTTCTTACTTGTAGTGACCTTAGATTGGACATACTTGTGGTATGAAAATTGTCCGTGTTTCACTGATAATGATGTGATTAATTACCGATACAGGTAAAGTCCCCTTCTTAGCTCAGAGCTCAGATGCACCTGCCATGAACATAAAATTCAATAACAATTGTGAAGAATTCAAAATATTCTGATTTTTTTGGTGGCAAACATCGGTGAAAGTTTTGAGTGCTTGCAAAGTCTTCTCACAACTTCCAAGAATGTTATTCCATGATGGAACTTAGCAAACACTCAAAACATTCATCAATGTTTTTTAAAAATTGGATTTTACTGTTCATTCAAGCTCATTTGAGTTCAAAGTAAGATACTCCGCGTCCACGATATAGTAACACAGAAAGGGAAAGAAGATAATTTCGCTCACCTTGTTTGAAAATAGGTGATGATTAAGATATAGGCAAAGCTACTGGCCGATCATCTATATGCTAGTAAGAAAATTATATACAAAAATACTAAAAATATGACGTAGATTTTTAGGCATGGCAAATCAAACATTTTCATGACAATTTGTGTTGGCGCGAGGATGACAAATGTAGTTGATGAGCACGGCAATTTCCTGACAATTTTTTTAACTAAGACGGATTTGTTATGCTTGCCAACTAAATTTGCCACCATCGGCAAACATAATTTGTCATGAAAAATGTTCGATTTGCCATGTCTCAAAATCTGACGTTCGTTGGATATCCGGTCCAAATTATATTAGTGCGATGTTTCATATGACCAATGACCAAATAGTGGCACTATTTTAACATTACAAACTTTGTACACTAGAGAAGTTTGAATTTATTCTTTTTAGGAATGTTTCGCTCGACATTTCTCAGGGCGCCATGTGTGTATGGATGATTTTTTTCTGAATCGGGCATAAACCCCTTTTCTTACTCATAACAGAAATACATCAAAGTTCAGCCAGAGAGAATAGATACGGAAAAAAGGATGAGCGAGTTCAAGACACTACCAGGAAACCTAGAACGTGTGCTCGCAATCGAAATACACGCTATGAGGCGAAAACCTGATAGCAACACTAAGACTACTTGGCTCGATAATTGTAGCGGTCAACATCTGCGCCATTGCTCCACTTATTCTAATTTATGCCGCATTTTCAGGCAGAATCTAACTAAAAGAACCTTCCGGTCGTTCAAGTATGCATAACATATTGCTCGTCGTGTCTAACTACCAGATGCGGTTAGTGGTGGTGTATTAGCATGAAAGCAAGGTGCATGATGATAAACCCTTGAGCTTTTGGAAATTGGTGAGTAGAATTGTGGCGGTCACGGATTAATCAGAATCAACTGCCAAACTAATCTGGTAGGAGAGATTCCATACTAACATTACGGCTTCTGATTGGCAACCCGAAGAACATCCAGCAGTATTTCTTTTTTCTTTTTGAAGAGAGTATTATATTGACAGCAAGGAAACCATGCAGTTTAGGAATCTCCTGCAAAGGTGAAAGAGAAAGTGAATTTTATGATACGGCACGCAACAAAGTTCTTTTACAGGATGTGGTCGAGCAATTTATTAGCTACTCGTGCGTCATGCCGCATACCTAGTAGAATACTACCATGGGCGCAGTTAATTTTGCTCTTTATAAGGGTCTATTTGGTTTCAATACGGCCCTGTTTGGTTTCAAATAAGTCATCAACTTATAAGTCGAAAAGTGCAAAAAGTAACTTATTTTGCCAAACGGATCCAACTTATAAATCACCCTAACTTATAAGTCATAAGTTACTACACCCCAACTTAAAACTTATAAGTCACCCCCTTTTGCATGGGTTCCACCATCTTTACATAAAAAACAAGGTGAGAAGATGTGTTCAGATGACTTATAAGTCAGATGACAACCAAACATGCGTGACTTATAAGTCACTGGTTTTAAGTCACCTGACTTATAAGTCAAGTGACTTATTGGAACCAAACAGGGCATAAGTCACCTGACTTATAAGTCAGGTGACTCAAAACCAGTGACTTATAAGTCACGTCTGTTTGGTTGTCATCTGACTTATAAGTTACCTGACACACCTTCCCACCTTGTTTATTAATGTAAAGGTGGTGAGACCCATGCAAAAGGGGGTGCCTTATAAATTTTAAGTTGAGGTGAAGCAACTTATGACTTATAAGTTGGGTCTGTTTGCAAAATAAGTCACTTTTTTTTTTCATTTTTCGACTTATAAGTTGATGACTTATTTGGAACCAAACAGGCCCTAAACTTTCAGAAATCAAGTCGACGGTATGCAGTCTTTGAGCTCATTTGTCTGCCAGTATTGAGTTTCACTGAAAGTGCACTACTAAGAGCATCTCTAATAGACCTGTATAATGCCCAAACCCGCAAAATAACCACTAAAACACAGGTCCACGTGAAAAATGCTGCCCGATCAGACCGCGCAAACGCTTCTAACCTGTAAATTTTTTTGCAGGGCACAACAAAATTCCCACCCAACCTGCGAAAACCCGGGTTCTCCCCCTCGCCCCGTCAATGCCCTGTATATAGCAGTAGCGGTTGGTGGGAGGGGGGGGGGGCATTTCAGCCCGCGCTTTTCCTCACCCACCGCCGCATGGCCGCCGCATATGATTCCGGCCATACTAGCAGTCGGGATCACGCCTGCGGGCCGCCACACGCCCGAGATTGTCTTCCACCACTTCCTCCTACCGCGGGCGGCCGTAAAGTTACAGATCGGCGGCTGGTTGTCGCGGCCGCCTGATTTGGCGGTTCCGGTCACCGGTGGCTGCGCCAAGCCAT